CCGCGCGCTAGAGCCGTACTGCTGTCTGAGTTGAAGAGCAAGTTGGTAAAAAGGAAACGGGATTGGTAGAAGATGGAGACATGAGAACAAGAAGGAACATGGGAGGACGATGCGGGGTTCTCGAGAAAAAAACACACCAAAACAAACAAATATCGAAAACAATGACGGTCCTCTAACGCGCTAGTAACATGCAAGCCAAAACGCAAGCATCCGAGCAGGGGTACATTAACCAGCACGAACAAGCACCGACGCCCAGGCGAGTTGAGACGAACAGCGACATGCAGGAGCAAAGAGGGGGACAGCCTTTATCGTTCGAGGGAGGAGGAGGAGGAGGAGCAGGAGCAAGAGGAAGAGAATGGGTGAGGGTAAGGGGGGAAGGATGATGAATTTGCGGAGGAGGAAGAGCAGGAGGAGGAGGATGAGGAGGAGGCGCAGGAGGTGCAGGAGGAGGAGCGGATGATTTTTGAAGGCTTTTGCAAGCCTGGCATCTTGGAGCGTCTGGGGGGCATCTTGGCCGGCCCAGAGCAGTCTTTGAGCGTCTTTGGTGCCTCGGGAATCATTTTGAAGCCCCTTTGGGGGTCTTGTGAGGACCTTTTAAAAAACCTTCTTGGGCGCCTCTTCGGGCCGTCCTGGCGCCTCTTGGGGCCCTTTTTCGGGCGCCCTTGGGAGCTCCCAAAGGAGCTCCTGGAGCCATGTTGGAAGACATCAACATCGATCCAACAAAAACATGGGGGTGCTTTTGGAACGCTTTCGGGCGCTTTTGTGGCCGCCTTGGAGGCCTCTTGGCTCTGAGCCCTCTCGGGATAACTTGGGGGCCATCCTGGAGCCACAAACAGCCATCGGATGCGAAAAAGCGAGAAAGCAAAAACCAATGAATCGCCCAGTGTTTGGGAAGGATTTTGACCTCTCGGCAGCCTCCTGGGGAGGCTCCGCCGCCACCTGGAGCCGTCTTGGAGTTTTTGGGCGGCATCTTGGAGGAGCCACCCCGTAGGCGCGCCCCCCTCTGGGTTCCCACAACGCCAATGGACGGGCCAGGAACGGTTTTTCAGCCTCACGCGCGCCCCATTTGCCCCAAGCCCGACATGGGCCCAAACACTAGGCGATGGCGGGCCCCGACGCCAACCGGACCTCGCAGCGGCGGCGCCACGCGCTCTCACGCCGGCGAAACACCCGCCCCGAAAGGTCACATGGAGCCCCGCGTCGCGGATGCAAACACACACTCTTGCGCCGCCCGCGCCTCACGGCCGGCTGGGACGGCGGCGCGCCGCCACCTCGTAGCAGCCCGCCGTCCCAGGCTGCGCGGCGGCCAGTCTCTCCGCGCGACGGCGGCGCCCCCGACCGACGCGTCGCCTGGGGCGCAACCGCGGCCGTTGCCCGAGCGCCTCGTCGAGCCCCGCCAGCCTTCTGGATCACACCTTGCCGCGTCGCTCGGTCAGGTCCTCTGCGGCCGAACGCTGGCGCTCGCGCGCGCGCGCCCACGGTCTCGCCAGCTGCCCCCTCTTCTTGTCCGTCTTGGCTGTCTGCGGCTTGCCCGCGGAATCCGAGATGTCGAAGCAAAAGAGCAGACAGCTGGGCACCTGATCGCGGTCCGCAGCGCCCATAATGTGACAGACCGCGGGCGGGCAGAAGGCGGGGCAGTTGCTCGCGCAGCTGGTCTGGGAGAAACGCGACTCCTCGGAGCAAACGCCGACCTGTAGCTCCCCGGAGTTGTCCGCGGTGGCCCCCTCCGCCGGAAAAGTGGGCACGTGCTTAATGAGCTTCACGCAAGCCTCCTCGTTGCTGGAGCCGATAGCGCCCATGACCGCGCCGAGCTCCTTCTCCAACAGCCAGTCCAGGCGGATCTCTTCCCCCTTCAACGCGGAGGCGGCGGACACCAGCTCGGTCGCCCCCGGCGCCTTCAGGGCACCCGCCTGCTCTGGGGCGGCGTGGCCAAAGTAGACCATCTCCGCCTGGTCCTCCGGGCTGTATTCCTGGGTCTGCTCGACGTGCTAAACTCCCTCGTCGCCGGCCAGTTCCACGCCGCCCTTTTCGATGATGGAACGCGACGGGAAGGCGATGACACGGCGCCCCCACGCGTCGGCGCCCTTCTCCGACCACCTGCGGCCACAGCCCTTGCGCACGCACCTCCAGGTGGCCTCCGCGACGGCGCCCCCTAGCTCATCCTCCCGCGCTGGCACCACGAAGCGCACCAACTCCTTCAGCTTGAGGGGGCCCGCCCTGTAGTGTGGGCACACGTACACTTCATGGTTGTCCCCACCATCGCGAAGTCTACCGCAGTCCCAAAACGCTCGTTCTTCAGGATGGCCTCGCCTCTTTTATCTAAGCCAACGTGCGGGACCACGCGGCCATCCTTGTGTTTCACGAGTTCCGCTTCCACAGCGAGCTCGATGGTCTTGGTTTGCTGCGTCGGCGATTCCCCCTTTTGTTTGCTTCTTACTTGGCTGGACTGTGCGCGATAATGTGGCCGCCCGCGAACCTGGCCGCACCGTCGGCCTCCCAGACCATAGGCGTCAGCCTCGCCCTGCTCGTGATCTCTGCGGCTACGTACCCCTCGGGGACCTCATGCCAGTCCTCGTCGCCTTGCTCCGAGCTCGGCGAGAAGGGGGTCTTGTTCGCCTGGAGGGCGGTGCCCCTCGCTCTCGCATTTCCTCCGCGGTCCTCCGCCTCGGCCCCATTTGCCTTCCTCCTGCGCGCTGGCATGGCAGGCGTCAGGGAGAATACTCTCCTCGTGTCCGCCGCAGCGAGGCGTCGAGAACGCAGGCCCAGGGGCCAGCTTCGGCCGTGTGCCTCAGCCCATATCGCCACAGACGTCGGGCAAGGTAGCGGATGCACTTTCGTGTTGGCGCACGGGGGCTTACAACTCTGAACACGTGGCCGAATACAAGCGAGGGACTGTCAAGTTGTGCCCATCCACGCCTCGCTTGAATGGAATCCACGAGTACGTGGCAGCCAGTGCCTACCTTCTCCTAACAAGAAAGAACTGGCCAAACTGCCACGAAACTGACTGCGAACTTTGTCGGAAATACCTATATATACACACAAAAAAACGAAGGCATGCAAGACACGAATGAGGACGGGGATGGGGGCCAAAACGCGGACGAAGATGAAAACGACGACGATCAGCATGAGAATGGGGATGGCGACGGGATTGAAGAGGATAGACGATAGAGGGAGGATAGAGGATGACGGATCAAGACGACAAAGTGAATGAAGGCGAAGAAGACAAGGACAAGCACCAAGACGGAGACAAAAAACGAAAAGAAGGACAGGGATAAGAACAGGGATGGGGACCAGAATAAGAATCAGTCAGTAACGGAAATAAGGACTCTACCTTCCAAATGAAACAACCCTAGGGTGGCACACCTCCCCATGTATGCCCCTAACCCCCGGGATACTTAGACGTCCGAGGCCGTCCCACCGAGACAGAATGGCAGGGTTACATGTCATGATGGCTGTCGCATCCCAATCAACGCCAGAAAACATGTCATCGAATTTAACTTCTAGACAAGCAGAAGCGCCTGACGCGATAGGCAACGCCCCGTCAGTCGCCAGAGCTTGCATTATCTGCCTACGCGCTGAGGCCTTATCAACTTCACAAGCACCCCTGCTCCATCGCGCTTGCTGGGCATGCCCGGCACCGCGCCGCGGCGAAGGAGCATGCGTAATATCCAGATCAACACAGGTCGACCCGTCACACGAGGATCGAGCTTGAGCCAAGCTGGCCGTGGGTGCGGATATAAAATAGGACGACGACATCTATACACCAACACCGACTCTGGCTAGGCCAATGCTGGTCTCAAGACTTGTGTATACGTCTACCTAGCACGGACGGCGTATAGACCCATCTTGAGCCTAAGAAGGGCCTGGCCAGGATGAGGAGGGCAAGAATAATAATGATGATACAATGATAAGGACAAAGGGGAGGGTAATGCTGATACAAACACCATGAGTGAAGGAAATGAAGTATATCATTATGATGATTATGATATAATGATGATGATGATGATGATGATGATGAACATCATCATCATCATCATCATCATCATCATCATCATCATCATCATGATAATCATGATGATGATGCTGATGATGATGTTGATGATGATTATGATCGTGGTGGTGGTGATGGTGATGTTGATGGTGGTATTGGTGACGATGACGGTGATGGTGCTGGTGATGGTGATGGCGATTGTGGTGGTTATGGTGATGGTTATGGATATGGCTATAAGCACCGTGAGTGAAGGAAATGGAGTATATGATTCTGATGATTAAGTTATAATGATGATAATGAACATCATCATCATCATCATCATCATCATCATCATCATCATCATCATCATCATCATCATCAGCATCATCATCATCATCATCAAGATGATGATCATGATGATGATGCTGATAATGATGTTGATGATGATTATGATCGTGGTGGTGGTTGTGATGGTGATGTTGATGGTGGTATTGGTGACGATGACGGTGATGGTGCTGGTGATGGTGATGGCGACTGTGGTGGTTATGGTGATGGTTGTGGTTATGGCTATGGTCATAATTAAGGTTATGACTAGGGTTATGGTGATGGTGATGGTGATGGTGATGGTGATGGTGATGGTGATGGTGATGGTGATGGTGATGGTGGTGATGATGGTGATGGTGATGGTGATGGTGATGGTGATGGTGATGGTGATGGTGATGGTGATGGTGATGGTGATGGTGATGGTGATGGTGATGGTGATGGTGATGGTGATGGTGATGGTGATGGTGATGGTGGTGATGGTGATGGTGATGGTGATGGTGATGGTGATGGTGATGGTGATGGTGATGGTGATGGTGATGGTGATGGTGATGGTGATGGTGATGGTGATGGTGATGGTGATGGTGGTGGTAATCGTAATGCTGATGAAGGTGAAGTTGCGGATGGGGGTGCGCATAAGGAGGGCAAAGATGATGACAAAAGGCAAGCGAAGATGTTCGGTGAACTTCCCGTGCTGCCTGAAAGCCATTGAGAACCTCCGGTCGACGGTCACGTTCTCCGCGAACGTGACGCGGCCCTGTCCCCTCCCCCAAGACTGGGCTCCCGTGCCAGAGGGATCGGGAGCACAGTGGCAGGGAGGCGAAGGCATGAGAGAAAGGCGGGGCGGGCGGAGGAGAGGGGAGAGGGAGGGAGCAGGCTGTTCCGCCTCCTTGTGTGCCTTGTGCTGCTCTCTGCCCTGTCGTCGTCGTCGCCATCTGAAAGAACAGTGAGGGAGAAGGAGGGCTCCCGTTTCCTCCTTCCTGCTCTTTCCCCCCTCTCGTCTACCCTCCCCCGCACTCCGTGCTCCCTCCTGCCTTCCTCGTTCTGCCTCCCCTTCCCTGAGGAAGAAATGAGGGAGAGGGAGGAAAGCAGGAGGCAGCACGGCGAACGGGGGAGGGTACACGACAGGAGGGAGAGCCGGAAGGAGGAACGAGGAGCCCTCCTTCTCCCCCAACCCCTAGAAAACACAAAGGACGACGACGACGACGACGACGACGACGACGACGAAAACGACGACGACGACGACGACGACGACGACGACGACGACGACGACGACGACGACGACGGGGCAGAGAGAAGCACGAGGCACACAAGGAGGCGGAACAGCCTGCTCCCTCCCTCTCCCCTCTCTCTCATGGCACGTCATCCCTGCCCTATCGATCCCGCGCTCCCTTTTTTCCCTCTCCCTCCTCCCCCATCTATCCCTTCCCCTTGGACGCCCATCCCGTGCATCCCTCTTCCAGGTCCCCTCCTCCCAATCGATTTCTCTCCTCGTAGACTCCCTCCCATCGGACCGCGGGGAGGAACAGGAGGAGGGAGAGGAGGAAGATAGGAGGGGAATTGGAGCCCAATATTCTTGATTTCGCGGAGCCTACTCGGCGGCGTGCGAGGGGGGAAATGAGAAGGGGAAGGCGTTCTCAGAAGGCGGCTGGACTTCTCTCTCAGAAGCCCTCGCGCATCGCCCTGGAGCACCCCAAGAGGGTCCCAAGTCAGCCCAGAGAGGCCCTCAAGACGGCTTCCAAGTGCGTCAGACGGGCCAGGAGGCCACCAAGACGGCCCAAGATGGCCCTAAGATTTCCCAAGACAGCCCAAGAGGCCCCCAAGAGGTCTCCAAGATGAAAAGGCCCCCAAGAGGTCCTGCATGAAGGCCCGAAGGTGCCAAAATCATTGATTGTCCGTCGGTGTTTGAAGGATTTGGGCATTTGCTCCTGGTCGGCCTTCCGACGGCCCGAGACGGCCCAAGAGCCCCAGAAGATCGCCCCAAGATCGCCCACGAGGCCTACAAGAGGGCCCCAGAAGGGCTCAAGAGGCCCCCAACACTGTCCCAAGAGGGCTCCGAGACAGCCCACGAGGCCTCCAAGACGCCCAAGATGGCCTCCAAGACGGCTCTAGAGCATCCCAAGAGGGCCCCAAGTCGGCCCAAAGAGGCCCTCAACACGGCTTCCGAGGGCGTCAGACGGGCCAGGAGGCCAGCAAGACGGCGCAAGATGGCTCCAATTTGGCCAAAGAGGCCCACTAGAGGTCTCCAAGACGGCCCCAGAGGCCCCCAAGAAGGCCCTCCGGGAGGCTCCAAGGTGCCAAAATCATTGATTGTCCGTCGGTGTTTGAAGGATTTGGGCATTTGCTCCTGGTCGGCCTTCCGACGGCCCGAGACGGCCCAAGAGCCCCAGAAGATCGCCCCAAGATCGCCCACGAGGCCTACAAGAGGGCCCCAGAAGGGCCCAAGAGGCCCCCAACACTGTCCCAAGAGGGCTCCGAGACAGCCCACGAGGCCTCCAAGACGCCCAAGATGGCCTCCAAGACGGCTCTAGAGCATCCCAAGAGGGCCTCAAGTCGGCCCAAAGAGGCCCTCAACACGGCTTCCGAGGGCGTCAGACGGGCCAGGAGGCCAGCAAGACGGCGCAAGATGGCTCCAATTTGGCGCAAGAGGGCCCCCAACACTGTCCCACGAGGGCCCCAAGACGGCCCAAGGGGCCTCCAAGACGCCCAAGATGGCCTCCAAGACGGGAGCACCCCAAGAGGGCCCCAAGTCGGCCCAGAGAGGCCACCAAGACGGCTTCCGACGGGGGCCCAAGCAGGCTCCCAAGATGCCTCCAAGAGGCTCCCAGGAAGCTCCCAGGAGGCCCCAAGAATGCCCCCAGAGGCTCCCAAGACGCACCCTTCTCCTCCTCCTCCTCCTCCTCCTCCTCCTCCTCCTCCTCCTCCTCCTCCTCCTCCTCCTCCTCCTCGTCTGGGTCCCCAGGTCCTCGTCTGGGGGTCCCCAGGCCCAGCGAGGGCACCCGGAGGAGGCCGAGAAAGAACGGGCAAACACCCTTTTTTCTCCCTCGGCGGTGCGGCAGAGGTAGAGACTGCGCCAGCGGTATAAGCGACGCGGAGCAAGCGAAGAGCGCACTGGCCAGCGAGCAGGAGGAGAGGAGGAGACAGACCGAGCGGCCGCCGGGGAAGGGGGGAGGCGGGGGGCGCACAGAGGTGGAGCCTGCCGGAAAAAAAACAGCCCGACAACAGGCGCGCCAAGTCTTGCTGGAGCGTCGGCCCCCCGGGGCCCCTCCGCCCAGTGGTGGACCTCCGCTGGCCGGCCTCGCCCTCGCCCGCTCGGGGGGCGGAGCACCGACCTGGAATCGGCGACACCTCGCCAGCAGATCGGCGTCTGGGCCCCGATCGAGCTATCCGAAGGGGAACGTGAGGGGGGCCAGCTCAGGAGGGGAGAAGCCTCGACCCAGCATCGGCGACACGTCGCCGATAACTCGGCGACGGGCCCCAGACAGCAAGTCCGAGCGTTCCCGGGCGGGGTGGGCTGTCGGGCCCCTGCCGGCGATGGGGGGGCGACTGCGGGTCGATGCATCGCACCCCAAGCCGATCCCGCCCCGGGGACGTCGCCCCTGGGCCCGCCGCCCAGCGGACCCCCGCGGCCCCCCTCCCTCGGGGCCCGCCCCCCCCCCACCCCCGAGGCCCCTCCGCGTCCATCATCTGCTGGCCCCTCGTCCTGCGGGGCGGCGCGCGCGGGCTCGGGGCCACGCCGGCGGGAGGCGACGGCGAGGACGGGCAGAAACAGGCAAAGGCAGATGAGCGACGAAACGGAACGGGTCCTACGCGAGATGGCATGGCGACCCTGCGCGGTGGCTTACGCAGGGGCCGCCAGCGCGGGCATACCAGGTGGAGGCGAGAGCGCTCACGTGCGAACTCTCGCGCAGGCAGCGGATGATTACGCGAGCGTCCGCGCGGTCGGCCTGGCTATCTTAGGTGTCAGTGGCAACTCACGGGAGCCTCCCATGCCACCTTGCTGGCACTCCCGAATCGACGCCCACCGACGCCAATCGACGCTCATCGATGCTCCATCGACGCCACTCGACGCTGGATCGGCGCCTGATCGTCGATTGCCAGGCGCTAGGGCATGCGAATGCATTCCTAGAGGAACAAGCAAATGGCACAAACTTTCGGCGCTCGGCGCATATTTCTTTGATCTGTGCTGGACCCCCCTTCCCTCGCGCGTGGAGCGCGCCAGGGGCGGCGCTGGAGGCGCCGCCAGGGGTCCCCGCGCAGATCCAAGAACTCCGCGCGGACCGCCAAAACTGAACGTTTATTCCGCTTTTTGGTTTTCGACCTCTGAAAACGGAATTCCTAGGGCAAACAAGGCTCCCATGATTTGCTATCGAACTACGTCGCTGACACGTACACGTACGGCAGGCTCGTGTCGTGCCGACCCTGGCGTAGGTTCCTGATAACTCGGGGAACGTGCAACCTTGAACGATCGGCCGGTTCCGAAACGTCAGATCGTTCAACACCGACCGAGCCGCTGGCGGCGTTCAACGTTGAACGCCGGCGGCGGGGTCGCCGCCAGCCGACAAGACTGAAGGGGCCCAGGGACGCACGAATAAATATCGACACAAATCCCAGGATTCCGAATATTTCGCAGTGTTTCTGGACTCTCGTCTTCCCCCCCCCACACACTTCCCATGCCTGCCCACATCTCCCTGGGAGTCGACGATTCACTGTGTCCGTGTGTCCCTGACCCTCCCGTGAGTTCAACACCGACCGAGTCGCCGGCGGCGTTCCGCGTTGCAAAACGCTGGCGGCGGGGTCGCCGCCGGTGGACGAGGCGCGAGCCTGCCGCGCGCTCTCCGCGGCCCCGCGGTGCACGAGCGACCGCGCTCCAGGCGCAGGCCCGCGGAGGGAGGCGGAGGAAGGCGGAGGAAGGAGGAGGAAGGCGGAGGGAGGAGGAGGAAGGAGCAGGAGGAGGAGGAGGAGAGCGAGAAGGAAGAAGAGACCGAGGAGGAGGAGGAGGATGTTGCAGGCCCAAAAGGCAGAACAAAACCGTGGCGCTCAGCGAAGCGCGGGCCAAACGTGCCCTGGCCAACGGCCAACGTGGCCAACGGCCAACACCAAGGGCACACGTGCAAAAAGGGGGCTCACGGACACAAGCTGGGATCTGACCTCTGGCTTCCTTTCCCTGACTAACTAACTCCCAATAGCGCCAGAAACGCTGTGGCTTGGGAGGAAATCAAGAAAAGAAAGCAAACCAAGGACCGACCTACACCCCGCGCCAAACTGGCGCATGGGGTTTCGGGATCGGCGCCCAAGGGACAATCCAAGGAGCGAAGAGGAGACCGAAGAGGAGGAAGAAGTAGGATCGAGGCATTGTGGCGCTTCGGACCCCTTTCGAAGCCCTCGGAGGCCCGTGGATGCCTCTGAGCACCTCTGGAGACATCCACCTTCACCCCTGGTGATTCTACAAAACTCATCCGGATCGCGCCACGAAGCGTGTACATAAGCCAGGTCGGGTAATATGCTTGAGACATCCATAGAAAGTACTAGCCCGATGCTGCAAATCCCACAGGCCCTGGCTGGGGGAAGGTGGCTTACTGAGTTAGTTTTTCCAAGATTACTCTCCCCCTGGGTCTGGAATCCTCCCTCCGCGGGTCGTTGGAGCGTCCAAGATGGCCGAAGATCGCTCCAAGATGGCGAAACATTGCCAAAGACGGCCTCCGAGCT